GCCACTGCGTGGCAAATACGAACTGATTTCAAAGAAAGAAACTGGAACGACACTCCAAACACATTGCCCCAGAATGGTTCCTTCAGGATGCTTAAACTTCAGGCCTTAAGGGCCAGGGGAGCAAATGGATTTGCATTGGAAAAGCAAGAAATTTTCCGAAGGCTTCGGTTATCGTCACTGAACGGTAACATTTGAATTGTATGGGGTGGAGCAGAGTGTGTACTGAGTAAGTGGGGTGAGGAAGAGCTAAAAAATTTTAAAGTAGCTGGCAATTTTGTGATAGTTTAGAATCATTTTTTGCTATGATTGGCTTCGATTCGGAATTATGGAATTAGCCTGACTTTGAGCATGAAATTACGACTGTACACGAGCATTCTCACGTAATTAGCGCTTCTATCATTGGGAGCATGTTTGGTGACGCCGTACCTACTGTAGATGATGCGCAGAATAGGAAGGCTTGAACATCGCTCCATCTCGAGCTCTGCATCCAGTGTTGTGTGCATGATTCTTATAATGGGGTGATTTAGCGAGAGATTAAGTACGTTATGAAAATTTTCTGAGCAAAACGACAGCGTTGTTGAGGCTGTAAAATAATGGTGAGGACTTTGGAAGCAATTTCAAAATAAGGAATGAGGAACAGAAAATTTACAGAATTGACGAAATAAAACTCAAAAAGGAAGAAATTTTGTTAAGTCACAGATTCGGTGCAAAATATTTATCAAGTTTGCAAATTTTGTTTTCTTCTACGTCAGTCTTCATATTTTTCTTCTAGAGTGTTTCAGCGTCTACCTCTATAAACCTTATTCCCTCCAAGCAAGAGCCTTTTCTGCTATTTCTCAGTTGGATGTACTTTCGAAAATTTCCAGCTCTCCGACCCAGACGGTGATCATTGTTTTAAATTTAGATATTCTGTGACTGTAAAGAGCAGAAGTAAAAAATAAAATCTGAATTGGAACTTTTCGGTTTATCCAGTTTTCTAGAGACTGGTACTCACCAGTCTCTAGAAAACTGTGCTATGTCCGCATAATATGAGACATTTGCAGGTTACAACAGTACAGGTAGATTACGAAAACGTGTGAAGCGTAGTCCGTATCGACTCATAAGCAGCAGTGTGTTCAGAAGTGACAACACCATTCTCGATGTATGTTTTTGCAGATGTACTTCCACTGTCAGATATTATCTTCATAAATGTGCTATTCTTTTCTAAATGCTAACAACCTTTCTTGGTTCTTCTGATAAAGCTGCATCAGTTTTTATGAATTACATGGTAAACTCTTCCCGTATTTTTCATTATATATATATGTTATTAAAAGTAGCTGCTATGGAATGTGGGAGCATCCTAGTAATATCACTAACAAGGGAATCCACCACTGATAGGCCGGGCGGACTTGATATTCTTGGTCCGAACGGACTTGGTATACATATATGCATCTATTCATATAAATATGTTTGCATGTGTTAGTATGGGTGCATGTGTATATGCGGGTACGTGCTTTGTGCGGACATGTTTGTGTACAACTCCGTATACTTGTATGTGTGCACCAGTAAGTATATATATAATATTATAATAATATTAGATTCTAACATTAGGTTTTAATAATATTATAATATTAGGCTTTATATAATATTAGATTCTGGTTCACTCATTAAACTCAACTAAAATTATAAATGCTATTCAAAAATAATGAAAACAAAAAACCTATAATGTGTAAAAAAAACAACAATTTGCCTAAAATTATAACGTTTCAGTCCAACAAGACGCCTACGCCTTAGCTCAGCGCCACGATTGAATCTCGTCAACGCAACAGTTGTGGCATAAATTATTATCATCATATAAAAAATAAATTGAAGACCAATGAGACGAGAGCAGCATAAAATTAAAGGAATGAAAGGGTTGGGAATGCAAGCGAGGAATTTCTTAAAAAATTCTTTGTTGTAAAAGTTAATTTTAGGTAAAACAGTACAATAAAATTCCGCCACTAATTGATTCAGGGCTAACAACAGTTCAGAAGGTAATTTTGAATTTTTTAAGAAATTTTTTATGTTGCTCGAATTAGAATACTCAGATACCAAAATAGAACCATAATATAAAAACTTTAATTTTTAAGCTTGCTAGGTTAAATAGTTGAGAAACAGCGCAATTCAAATTTCACTTGTCACTTCATGTGTGAGGAATAAGCTTCATCTTCATGTGTAAGGAATAAGCACGCATGGATGATGATTTTAAGTTTTTGGCGCTAAACATGAGCAGATAACGACTTTTTAAATTTTTGTTTAGTAAGTTTTACTGTTCCTGAGTTGGAATGAATCTAGATCTTCAAGTTGCTAGGTTCTGAATTTTTACAGATCACTAAACTTGTTCGGGTGCTGTACCACGGCAAAGAGCAATCAGGAAATTGGTTCACCACCTACAATCGCATTCTGGATTTCAAGAAGAAGCTTGATGAGAGCAGTCAATCACCGGGGAAGAAAGTATACGAATTGAGACTGTACGACTTGGTTCTTGGCAGCGATCATCCTACGAAGAGGAAATCTAAAAAAAAGGTTTTTTTTGTTTTCAGAATTGGCCCTAAATTCGCCATTATGAAAATGAATCGGGGGGCTTGTCCTGCTGCAACATTTGTGCGTTTTTCGAAGGCAGAAAAATTGGTTTTTATGCGTTTTTGCATTTATGTAAATTGCAAAAACGCATATTGGGAAGAGGCTGTCTGT